TGTAGTCTTTTGAGGAACAATTTCTCAAACAACTTGGACACTATAGGCAAGAGACTTATAGGTCTGTAGGAAGTGATTTCATGAGGAGGTTTTCCTGGTTTTGGTATAACAATTAATTGGGCTTTCTTAAATTGAGTTGGTATGTGGTCTAGTCTCAATATAGAATTAAAGAGAAATGCAATAAAAATCATTCCTTTCCTTGGCAGTTCTTTTAACATTTTCCCAGTGATAGAATCGTAACCAGGAGATTTTTTCGGATTTAGCGATTTGTCAATGGTTGCCTTAATTTCTGTAGGTCTGAATTTTTCCAGAGGAAAGTCAAGTTGAAGTGGAGAGTCCAAGAATTCTATTATTTCTTCTTCATTATTGACCACACCTACATTTGGCTTGAATACATTGGAAAAGTAATCCCCGAAAGCTTCAGGTTTTTCTATGTCACTCTTAGCCCAGCTTCCATCCGGTTTACGAATTGGCGGGATTGAAATTTGGGGTTGCTTCAGCCTTTTTGTTACTTTCCATAACGAGTAATCCGTAGCTTCCGTAGCCGACAAAGATTGAGTATATTCTTCAAACCATCGGTTTTTTGTGTCTTACAATAATCTTTTCAAATTCCGTGCTGCTCCTTAAATTAAAATTAAATTAAAATTACAATGTATAGATGTTTTATATGAATTTGGAGGCTACTTCAAATAAATTCTAACTGCTTCACATGTGTTAGATTAACATAACATAACTTGCACATCACATTGTTTTTTTTTTTTTTTTTGTATGTATATTTAGGTAAATTAAGTTATTGTGTTTTGCTAAACCTATGCTTAAATTAAACTAAAGAATATCATCAATAACTAAATTGTACGTCGAGTTTTGTTTTTTAAAATCTGTTGTAATGTGTAACTATAATTCATTATCAAATGGTAATACAAAATGCTCTTATTTTATCTTAACATAGCTTTCAGTTCACATTTACTTTATTTGATAAATTTATTATTTATGTTTTGCCACACCACTGATTAAATTAAACCAAGGAAAATATCATAAAACTAAGCAGTACACATGTTCCTTTGTTTCTAAAATCAATGAAATATCTATTAGGTACTATGTCTACTTAATGGTAAGTGTGCAAAATGTAAAGACAATGGACGATGGAACTGATTAAAAGAGTTTGTATATTAAGTTGTTTGTTGATATTTTTTTAGAGTAGAATCAGAGATGCAGTGAAAAATATAGGCCTACTGTATTTGCTATTACATTTTTAGTCCTTGATGTTTTGATAATCATATTAGTTTTGTCTACTGTCTTTAATGCTAATTTATTTGTTTAAAATTTTTTATAGTACCTATAGATATAGTTTCTTTAATATTTCAAAGACTGTATTGGTAAGGTACAGCAAAATTTCTAAAGTTTATAACAGCTGACTTAGTTTTGCTACTGATTTATTTTTTTTTTTGTTTTTTTTCAGAATTTATTTTACAATTTGTTCAAACTTCAAATACGAGAACAATAAGTAAAACATATATCAAAACAATGTCAAGAAGCAAGCACCTGTTCATCAACAAGTCTTGCCAAAAATTGGATCAGTCATTTAAACATTTACAGAAATCTGTAGCTTAGGTCCAGCACATGCACAACACTTTTTAATCTGGTAATGCACTGTCTATTGTCAAGCAGATTAACAGCAAGACTGTTCGGATGATATTCTAATTTTTCTTGATAATTTTTGCTAAGGTCTGTAGGCTAATTTCTTTTTTCACTGATTTAATTTTGAAGTCATTCCTAATTGTAGTGTTGGATACGAACCAGGGTGCGCCAATAATTCTTCTCAGTGCCTTAGCCTGAAATCGTTCAAGAATTTCGATGTTGGATTCGCTCGAGGTCCCCCAAAGTTGAATTCCGTATGTCCAAATTGGTTTGATCATAACTTTATACAGTAAAATTTTGTTAGCCAATGATAATTTTGAATTCATACCTACTAGCCAATTGAGTTTACAAAGTTTTAATTCCATTTGCTGTCTCTTGCACCAGATATGAGATTTCCAATTTAATTTTTTGTCAAGAGTTAGACCTAAATATTTTACACTGTCTGCCTCCGTTAAAGCTACATTATTAATGGTTACTGGAGGATTGTACTCTGTTCTCAGAGTAAAAACAATATGTTTGGACTTGTTTTCGTTGACTTTTATCCTCCACTTTTTAAGCCAATATTGGAGCTCAGTCAAGGCAGCTTGTAGATTTATGTAAGCGACTTGAGGGTCCACATGACTCGACAACAGTGCGGTGTCATCAGCAAACGTTGCAACTGTGACGTTGGGGACCATAGGGATGTCTGCTGTACATATCAAATATAGCAAGCGACCAAGAACACTCCCCTGAGGTACTCCAGACTGTATCGGCTTCAGATCAGATAACGAATTATCGAATTTTATTTGAAAATATCGATTGGTCAGATATGATTTCAGAAGGTTATACAAAGAGTGAGGGAGAGAGGTTTTGAGTTTAAACAGAAGTCCGACATGCCACACCTTGTCAAACGCCTGTTGGACATCCAAAAATGCAGCAGAACAGTACTGTTTTTTCTCAAATGTGTTTTTTATAATATCCACTAATCGGTGAGTTTGTTGAATGGTGGAATGTTGTTTGCGGAAGCCGAACTGATGATCCGGTATTAAGTTTAATTCATCAACAGTGGGGGTTAACCTTTTAAGTATTACCTTTTCAAACAACTTTGATACTATAGGAAGCAAGCTTATGGGTCTGTAAGAAGATGTGTCATTAGGTGGCTTGCCTGGTTTTGGGATAACAACTATTTGTGCAATTTTCGGTTGAACAGAAAAATTTTACAATCGTAACATAGCATTAAATATAAATGTCAACAACATAATGCCTTTACGGGGTAGTTCTCTTAAAATCTTTCCAGTGATGAGATCGTACCCAGGACTTTTCAAGGGGTCAATTTCCTTAAAAATTATTCTTGAAACCTCTGAAGGATTGCAAGATTTTATAGGCAGTGACAACTGATTTGGTGCATCCAAAAATTCGTAAATTTCACTTTCGTCATTGGGGGGATTTGGAGTAATATGCAGTAATACATCAGAAAAGCGATCTTCAAAAACCTTCGCTTTTTCTTCAGGGGTTTTAGCCCAGGACCCGTCAGGTTTCCGAATTGGAGGTACATGTTGAACTGGACGTTTAATATATTTAGTAGACTTCCAAAGAGAATACTCTGCTGCTTCAGTTGGGGTTAGATTGCAGATATAAAGGCGTTTGTTAATAATGTCATTTGTTATTTATTTAGTATTCTATAAAGTAAACAATAAATTAAAAAGATTGATATATTTATAGTTAGTAGGTAGGCCACACATTCAATCTAATACATAAATATATGAAAAGAAACACAATTAAAACCTTAGATTTCCCACATGCCTCTGTCTTAATCTGATATAGATGCATGAAATAGATTTAACATCCACACACATTAAAAACTAAAAAGTAGAAAATAATTTATAAATATGTGGAGAGTATAAATACTTGTAAGATTTAAAACGAAAAACGTTGGGTGCATGCAATTGATAATATAATACAGTTCAAAAGGTGAAGGTAATTGTAAAGGTCACCACCAACTTCGTCATGTCCAAGTTTGTCACATCTAGGAAAATCAATGAGCAGTACTAATTAGGGTGGACAGTCTACCTGCCCCACCGGGTATGACATGCCTCACTCCATTCGAACGGGAACAATAGATCCTATTATAGTCACAGATCACAAGAGAACGGTCAAATGTCGTTCTGAATCTTTACCCTCCAAAGTTTACTGATGTTAGTTCTTCATGCAGCTGAAAATTATGCAGAGATGAAAGGCATTATATCAGCGGTGCGGAGAGGACCAGGCATGACGCAAGAAGTGAGGAGCCCACCCGCACCTACCCGCTCTGGCAGGAGAGCTGGGAACAGGAGAGACGGGGACGCTGGACCAGGCGACTGATTCAGCAAGTCCAACCTTGGGTAAATCGGTGGCAGGAAATGGATGGATTGGAAATGGAATGGTGGAATTTTACCTCATCCAATTACTGACAAGTCACAGATTTTTCCAATCGTACCTATTCAGGATAGGCAAATCTGAGTCACTCGATTGTATCTACTGCCCAGGCACTCACGACGATGCAAAACACACTTTTTTCCACTGTCCGTGATTGGAAAGGTCCCGCCTGGAGGCTCAATACAACGTAGGACTGCTATCGGTGGACACGGGTCATCCCAATAATGGTGGAGGGTGAAGACTTGTGTGTCACATTCTGTCCAAGGTATTCACCGTGCCCAGAAGATTGACCTTGATCGAGATGCGAACTAGGTAATACAGAACAGAATTCCGGAAACAGTGGGAGCCCTAGGGCTTAGGTCACATGTTGGCCTGACTTGATGAAATGTGACAAACAATCCCAGGTCTGTGTCCAACAGAGTAGAGGGAGTTTTTTTTTAGTGAGTAGCTGATCCTCTCAGAGTCTCACACTACAGGCTGGCTACCTGTTTGGCAAATGCATTTTCCCTCCTCTCCCTAAAAAGAAAAAAATGGTAATACAAATCTATTTCTCAAATTACTCAGCACTACCTTACCTCCTCCAGGGGAGCGGCCCATTAGGAGTCAGAAGAAAATTATAAATGTAAGCATGGGTTGTTATATACATCAAATTAAAAGTCATAATTAGTGTAAAATAATGAAGCAAATGCAAACTCATTCGAACAACTGAGAAAAAAATGGCAGCTGTTCAAAAATTGAGTTTGCGATGCAATGGATAATCAGACTTGCACTTGTGTGCCTTACTGAGGGTTCACTGGATCATTCCATGGAGTATACATTGCAAATTAACTAATTTGAGGGCTTATAGACAGACCCCTTTCTCTTAAAAGCGTTTGGATTTCTATAATTAAAAAACACACCTAAAATGTAATTGTATTATCAACAACAATAAGGCTTACTGTAAATACATTTTTCCTGTATTATTTCAGATTAAAGAGACACCATGGGAGGGAGGTGTTCGTTCAGTCGCAGCTATCTGGAGTCCTCTGATGCAACGTAGACAACGAGTCTCCACACAGCTGATGTACATGACAGACTGGCTGCCTACCTTGTACTCCGCTACAGGTCTGCACATCTGCAATAAACCAAACTATATATACTGCCTTTAACTATGGATAGAAATAGACATTCCATTATTATATCAGTTTCGGAATAAAATGAACTTAGTTGAATTTAGTCAGAAGCAAGTTCTCCAGTTACTATTTTCTGTTGAATATACCAACTTTTTTAATTTAACAAAGCTATCAATCTGAAAATGACAACTTATTGTAGGCTATAATACATTCAAGTAGTCATATTCAAAGAAATCAAATTTTAGTTGGTAGCACATTTTCCTAGTGGGCCATAAAACAAGTTCTTTCTTAGTAATAATTAGCTATAAGGATAGTCCCTTGTTGGGATTGCTACTTCAGTACTGTATCCATGATTCAATAGTATAATAAAGGAACATCATTTTGAACTGTAAAAAATCAAAAAATTTAATTTATTTCAAAGAATATTACTCAGGTACCGTTAACAAATTCTGACAAAGATGAACAACTTTGGTCGCCTACTAAAGTTGTAATCCCTGTTCTTTAGGTCATAATGTGTCTGAACTGGGCGAGATAGACGGTGTAGATATGTGGGAAGCCCTGGTATCTGACAAGACTTCACCTCGTAAGGAGTTTGTTCACAACATTGACGACGTTGGAGATGTTTACGCTGCCCTGCGGAAGGGAGACTGGAAGTACATCAAAGGTAAGCTCTATAGTTTTTCTTTGAGTTAAAACACAGACAATAGATTAACTAACCTTCAACGGTTACTCTATTGTCTGTAAACTTTATTGTTATGGTAAGGTAGGATTACTTAACCCATTTGGGAAGGAATAAATGCGCTGCCTGCAGCACCCTCTGTCGGCAATTAATATTACCGAATTTGTAGTCTCTTACTCTAATTGTTATAGAAATAAAACCTTAGGTAATAAATTAATAATTGTTTCACGATTTTGTTCATAGTAAAATTATCTACAAAAAAGTGGTATACTGTAAGTAGATAATCAATGTGTAAAATTAAAAAAAATAAAATTATTAATATAATTTAAACAATTATTTTTGTAATAAAACTTGATTTACAAATCCCAAGATTAATCCAGACACCAAATTATACTACTATTATAAAGTTTAACTGATTCCCTACGTAGAAAAAGCACAAGTTGTTTACTTTTATAAGTAACTAGCTGTGTACCCGTTCTACGCACGGGGATCTTTTAGTACTCAGTTAAAACCTTCATATATAAAAACAGCAGTTGGTTTGCATATTTTCAGATATGCTGGCCAAACTACATATTATATATAACTTCATTTTAGCGAATTTCCCATATAGGGAATACGCTATTACCGTAGTACTCATGGTAAGACCTGGACCCAAGACCGATTTAATTTTTCATTTTGAGGTCCCTAGAGGCCAAAAACACCATCCGTTCAAATTCATATATATATTTATATCTGTATATATATATGTGTCCGTTAGCGCGATAACTCGAGCAAAAATGATCCGATTTTGATGAAATTTGGTACAAACGTGTAAACCTACGTTTATTCAAACGAGTTCGCGATCCAGCATAATCGGACCATGGGAACGGGGGTTTATGGGGGGTTTTATGGGGTAAAAATGGGGTTTTCCCATTTTTGAACCTAAAAACAAAACATTTTGTGATTTCTTTCTTAACCGTTTTGTAGAGCTTAAAAAAAGAAATAATTTAGTATATTGAAGCGCTGTTGTATGCCTAACGGTCACGGAGAAAATTCAAAAATAGTGTAATTAAAAATACCCATGTTATTCTTATGGAGAAAATGAAAATTGTTGTAGTTTACTTGCTTATGGGTACATATTGATAAAATTTGTCAAATTTATTTATTTCATCCTATACTATTGACGTATGGTCAAAAAACACTTTTTACCTTCCCTGTAGCAGCAAACCTAAGCACTCGTTAAATCTAATGTTATTTAAATAGGGAATAATATGTCTTTTTTATGGAAATATTTTAGTAAAAATGTAATCAGACGAGTTGAAATTCGCTTAGTCTGCAGGTTTGCTGCGGCGGGGGTATTATGTTGTTTGTTGTTGTTCCGGATTGGTATGACAATCAATAAAACGTTAAATTACCTGTGTTAAGTTTCCCAGCATTAAACAACACTGATTCAAGGTCTTTTTCCCGGTTATCAAAACTCAAGAACAATTGTATACACAAAGAATCTCTATTTTCATTTACGGATACCCTACAAATTATTGCACTTGCCATTAATTAAATCCTTTATGTAAGGAATAACATTTTAATCTTACTTGGTTTGGATTTTGGTTTGGTTTGGATCAGACTGGGACGGGTGGCGTCGTCCTGTAATCTAGCTACTAGGAGGATAATTATAGGGATGCACTGTGGATGCGATGCTACCTGGTGTGGATCAACGTCCGCACTAGTGAGTACTACGACTATCCGCAGTACTATCCTAAATAATTAGACCAATTCGTTAATTACGAGGAAAAAATGTGGTTCGGATTCCACAATAAACTGTAGGTCCCTTTAGTTGCCATTAGCTGTATGGGCTATTAATTAACAGCTGTGTCTAAGGAACATGTCGGCCTTAGTCACTAACAAGACTACAAGATCGCGCCACTCATCCTACACTCATCCTTCACTCATATTTGGGTTAAAATACACACATAGTGGCGTCCCCATCTTAAATAATTGATAATTGATCATTTGCTTTTCAAAACGTGATCGGAAATGGTTGCGGTATTTGTAAACAACATTCAATGTAAACATATCAGTGACAGCTAGAAGAAATAATCTTGATTCGAACAGCTGTTTGTTATTTCATAGATGAATATGTGATAAACATTGGGAAAACTTTACATAAAATCGCACAAAATTGGGTTTTTAAACGTCCGTCATTTTATTTACAAAGTAGTGACGCCATATTTTAATGGCCATAAAGACAATCTCGCCAATCCAGTGAATACATAAAATGATTTGGAACTTGATAGGTACTCTCGTTTTTCAGGAGAAGGCCGCGTAAAATGACTCTTGGGCCGTGACAGACAGGAAGACAGACAGACAGAAATTTAGATGAGACTTGTTTCGGTTTCTTAAATGTATAAAACGTAAAAATGACCTAAACGTTTATGATTCTGAGCAATGTACAGACAAAACACTAATTTTATTTATATAGATAACATAGAAAACAAATTGTTTGTTTTACCTTACCACAGCTGATTTTGGGTGATATCTGGTTTCCATGGAAACACAACCTTGTTTGTTATTTTTTAAAGAAAAATAAAAACTCTGACTTATATATTTAAATATTGTATTTAAATATATTTACTCCTTGCAATGCTCTCAAAGTGAATTCTTTACAAATCTTGGTTGCCCCTAGGTTGGAAGAACTTGGAAAGTAAAAGTACCAAACAGAGCTTTGGCAGTGGAAGCTTGGTGTTAAATAAATATTTGAGTGGGCCCTGTAAAATAAAATACTCCCCAGAAGTCCTTATGGGACGTCCTTGGTACTGTTTGAAGTTCTTCCAGACTGCAATACCTTCAGTAATAATAATACCAATCTTAAACTACACTGAATTTAATTTGCTCACTACTACACTGATATTTAGTGTTGCACTTAAAAGGTGAATCTTTTGTAATGGCCTATGATTTACTGAATTACCTTTATTTCAATATCTGAATAATACTAACTAGTATACATGTTGCTCGAATTCAAGCAATCGCTAAGTATTACAGAGGTTATTTCAAAATGAAAAACAGCCATATTTACAAAGAGTTTAAAAGAGTCAACTCAAAGATTACCGGTGTGTAACTCATGGAGATACTCACGATGTTCAACATTTCCTAGAAAAGTTAAGTCCATGTTTCCTACTATAAATTGTAGCACTTCGGCTAATACCCTCGTTCATCGTTTGTAGGAATCTTCATCTTGCAGGTGTTCTTCATTATATAGGCTAATAACGATCATAAATTCTTTAAAAAATATTATCTCTATTTCTTCTACTCAGTGGCCTTTTTATGTTTCCATAATTTGCAAATGGGTTCTTTCAATGATTTAATTTTTGTAGGACGCATTTCTTTGAATTTCACCTTAAATATTAACAGCAATTCGCTTATAATAGGGACATTCGACTATAGGGTCTGATGATGATTGGAGTGTCCAATCGAAATCGATCACCACTTACCATCTTTTTTGTATATTTACCGTCTTGTGAGTAACATTATAAGCGTAAATATATGTTTTAAGTGTTATAAGACGTTTCTTTTATTTACTTTCCGTAAGCAATTAAATATCCAGCTGATCATAATGTAAACAAATATGTTCTTCATAAGGATAACATGGGAACTTTAAAAGCCACTGGGGCAGAGCCCAAGGGACTTTTTCAAAAATGTAAGGCCATTTTGCAAATCTACGTGACACGCTCTTTCAAATGAGACGTCAATGGATAAAATCGGTTAAGAAATGGCGGAGGAGTTCAACCGACAAAGTTTCGTGTAGCGTATTAATTATATAGATAATAATGAATTACCAAGGTTATTGAGAACTAGAAAGTGAGTACCAATTTGAATTTATTGCACAGAATTTAATAATTACAATTGACTTCAATTTACAGTTACTGGTTGTGATTTATTTAATCAAAATGACCTTGAGTTACACAATCAGTTGGAAATTATTGAAACTGTTGAATGAATTTATCAAAAGGGAAGATATGGTGCGATTTAACACCTATCGCGAAAGTATTAACGGAAGAGTGGTATTTAATTTAATTGTTTGAGATGACCAGTACCAAGCAAATCCTTTTTGTTGGCCAACGATCAAAAACGAAGGTCGTCTCGCAGTCCAACTGATTAAACAGTAATGTGTTCAATCGTAGCAGTATTTATTAGAATGTTGCTTTATTATTTTATAGCTAATTTGGTACTTTGGCGGTTCATCTATGTTCAAACTGACACAACTTCCGACAACACTTCCGTATCTAGCCGAACCAGCTACCTGCTCCCTCCTTTGATATTAATTTATTTCCCCCAAATCAAATACTGACTGTGGCACTCTTTAAATGAATTGTACCATTTATACTCAACAATGAAATTCGATAATGGCTCTGTTTAAAAATTCCAACACTATGAAAATCTTATGAAGTAGCCTAACTCTGAATTACCCTACAATAACATTTTCGTCTATTTATTCTTAATACTATTGGATCATCACAGCTTAGAAAATACTACAGATTATTGCACTATAAATGGATATAAAAATCAGTGAATTGAATTCGAACCTGGAAACATGTGATCATTTGACAGGAAATAACAAAATATGACAGGAAAATTAACCATGTGCGACTCACTGAATTCTAAAGTTAACAAATAAATAACACAAATTACTTACAATTTCGGACGTCCACAATAAACACAAACACAATTTGAAGGATAAGGATGAGGAATTGTAACTAGCCGGTATTCTATTAAAAACACGATCAAATTGAACTTGTGTGTGACGAACGTGAAATTTCCAAATGGCGGACTGCGTTGGCCGGTAAAACAAACTTTTTGACACTGGTTTGACGATCAAAACTGATTCTAATTTCCAACCGCGTTGCAATTATATCCCTTCGGGATATAGGCTAAACGATTTCGAGGAAATGAAAATTTATCCGACCAACACCGCAAAATGAATTTAATTTGCACGAACGAAAGGTTTCCGA